CAGTCTACTGTTGATGGGCATTTAGGTTGATTCCAGGTCTTAGCTATTGTGAATTGATCTGCAATAAACATTAGGTTGCAGACCGCTTTTTTGTTTGCCAATTTAATTTCCTTTGGGTAAATTCCAAGGAGTGGGATGGCCGGGTCGAATGGTAGGGTTATATTCAGGTTTCTGAGGAATCTCCAGACTGAATTCCATAGGGGCTTTACCAGTTTGCATTCCCACCAACAGTGGGTTAATGTCCCTTTTCCCCCACATCCTTGCCAGCAGCTGTTGTTGGTAGACTTCTGTATGGATTTGACAGGTAGAGTTAGAGAGAGAGAGAGAGAAAGGTCTTCTTCCATTGGTTCACCCCGCAAATAGCTGCTACGGCCAGAACTACATCAATCCGAAGCCAGGAGCCAGGTGCTTCCTCCTGGTCTCCCATGTGGGTGTAGGGGCCCAAGCACTTGGGCTATCCTCCACTGCCTTCCCAGGCCACAGCTGAGAGCTGGAATGGAAGAGGGGCGGCCAGGACTAGAACCGGTGCCCATATGGGATGCTGGCGCCGCAGGCAGAAGATTAACCAAGTTAGCCATGGCGCCAGCCCCGACACTGGGATCTTGAATACAAATGTTGATTGAATCCACCTGGATCATTATTTTAAGACTTAGGGTTATACAATCCAAAATTTAGTCTTTTAATTCCAGAAAACACAAACTGATATCATCCTTCACTAAAATAGAGATATTTCACACATTAAAATAGAGATTGCTGGTAGCCAGTGATACTAGGAGAAAACGAACAAAGCTTTAGTCACTTATTTGATCAGTGGAGGGAAAATTTCTTTCTTTTTTTCTTTCTTTTTTTTTTTTTTTTTTTTTGACAGGCAGAGTGGACAGTGAGAGAGAGAGACAGAAAGGTCTTCCTTTTTGCCATTGGTTCACCCTCCAATGGCCGCCACGGCTGGCGTGCTGCGGCCGGCGCACCACGCTGATCCGATGGCAGGAGCCAGGTACTTATCCTGGTCTCCCATGGGGTGCAGGGCCCAAGCACTTGGGCCATCCTCCACTGCACTCCCTGGCCCCAGCAGAGAGCTGGCCTGGAAGAGGGGCAACCGGGACAGAATCCGGCGCCCTGACTGGGACTAGAACCCTGTGTGCCGGTGCCGCAAGGCGGAGGATTAGCCTAGTGAGCCACGGCACTGGCTGACCTGTAGGTCTTAACTTCAGTGCCACCTCCTCCCACAGAAGAGGAACCCTCTGCCCCCCACACTTCTTCCTCCCATTACCAGGTTTATCGTCTCCACTTGAACGGGCGCTGTCTGGCTCTGCCTTCCTGGGAGCCTCTCACACCCTTACCTTCCTCCTTCTCTGTAGCCCCCATGCCCACCCCGGCACCCGGCACACGTTAGCAGAATGTGAACAGCGGCTTTCTGGGAAGGAGTGCATGTATGTTTGCACACGTGTGTGCTTGTGGCTTAGAGGCAACCATGCATGCTAGGCTGGCCCAAAGTGGGTCACTGGAGCTGGGTACGCCTTGTTTCCAATCTGGCGCTGCTACTCCCTAGCTGGAGACTTTAGAAAACAAAAGTTGCTCACTTCCTGGGCCTCCACTTCTGCTGCTGCAACTTGAGCCTGAGCCCCCTGGTTCAGGGATTGAGGTGCGTACGGAAGGCAGAGGTGAGCCACACCTCAGCGCAGCGACGACTCGCGAGCGCCCAGGGTGCCAAGCCGGGCTGCACCACCCGCCGCTTCCGCCAGGTGTCGCCGCGAGCGCGTCCTGGGCAGCCAGGTGCACCCAGCGCCCTGGGGCAGCTGCGATGCCGCGCGACTCTGCTGCGCGGGGCAGCCCGACCTCAGCCCGAGTCCGGCCAGCCGCTGGCAGGGGGACGCCAAGGAGGCTGCCACATCTGGGTGCCCACCTGCCGCCCCTCTCTCGAATAGAGGAAGGAACAGGCTCAGCCCCTTACCCCTGCCTGTCAGTAGCTCCGCCGAAGGGCACCCCCTCTCCCCCGAAGCGGGGTTGGTGAACCTGGTGCAGGGGAAACCTGGGCGCGCCCTAGCACCCAGCAGCTCCCCGCTCCCCAGCGCCAGGGGTGAGGCGGGAGGGCAGGGCGGTTGGCCTGGGCGTGCGAACCTCCCCACCTGAGGGTAGCCCCTGGACATTGGCTCACACCGCAACCTGCAAGTTGGGAACGAGGAGGTGCAAGGGGTGCCTCACCCCCGCCTCCCACCTGCGCCCGGGAGCTGGAGGGGGCGCGGCGGAAGCGCGCGGGGCAAGGCGCGAGCGCGCGCCCGGGGCAGGCAGCTCCGTCCCGCGGGTACTCGGGCGCGGGGCGGGCGCTCCGGGGAGGCGGGCGGGAGAGGGGGCGGGAGAGGGAAGGGGGAGCGGAGGGAGGGGCGGGGGCGGGCGGCAGCAGCGCCCCCGCACTCCCCGCGCCTAGCGCACTTGCACCGGCCGCTCGCGCGCAGCCCGGCGTCGCCCCGCGCCGCGCTCGCTCCTCCCTCCCTCCTCCCGTTCCGTGGCTCCCGCGCTCCCGGCGAGTCTCAGGCGCGGAGCGCGCGGACGGGCGCACCGAGCCGCCGACCGCCCCGGGGACGCTTCGGCCCGCGCCTCCCGGGCGGGCTATGTGGATTGCCCCGCGGGGGCCGGCCCGCGGGATCAGCACTGCCCGGCCCGCGGCCCCGGCGACCAGCGGGGACTATGAACGGGAAGGCGCGGCGCTGCTTGGGCCACCTCTTTCTCAGCCTGGGCATGGCCTACCTCCGGATCGGGTAAGGGCCGCTCGCGACCCTCCGTGCGCGGCTCGGCAAAGTTGGAGCGGCCCGCGGAGGGCGGTGCGCTGCCCGCGAGCCGCCGCGGCCACCAACTTGCTCAGCACCTCGGAGAGGCTGGGTGGGCGCGGTGCGCGAGCCGCGGGCGCACAAAGGCCCCCCGCGGGCGGACGCCCCAGGGGCGCACACAGCACAGGCGGGGGGCACCCAGCATCTCCGGGACGCGTGGGTCCGGAAAACTCCAGAATCGGGCGCAGCCTTGAGGGCCATCAGCCTAAGGGCGTCAGGAGAGGGCCAGCCGGTGCAACGGGCTTGCGTCCGCCAGGGGCCCTGCGGACTCGGGCTCGGGGACGGCAGGTCCGGCAGGACACCGGGCCAAGACCACGGCCGCCCCGGAGGCTGGGGAGGGGAACTCTGCGCTCGGAGGCGCGGGCACAGACTCCTGGAGTCGGGGCAGCCTCCAGGTGGCAGGCGGGGCCGGTCGGTGCAAACAGGGAACAGGTACCCAGAGGGAGAGACGTTCGCTGGCGAAACAAACTACTGCCCGGAACCCTGGCGCCGCCCGATGTCCAGGGACCCTCAGAGCCCTTTCCCAAACGGACAGCGCCAAACGCCCCCAACATACACACACACACACACACACACACAAATACAAAGGCAGGAGGAGAGATCACCCGAGGCACCCATAGAGGCAGCGCCAAAGCCAGACAGGAGACCCCGGTCCCCGGGAACTGGATACCCGGAGCCGCCGGGGCGCCCGCCGAACGGCCCTCCGGCTTCACCTAAGCGTTTCTGCCGACGGAGCCGGGGGCGGCGCTCTGGCTGGAGAGTGGGAGGGGTGGCTTGGGGCGCGTCTCGAGGTCGCATTTGTGCCGCCTGGCCCTCTTTGTACTCGGGAGATAATGCGTGCGATGCCCGCACGGGCGCCTGTATGGGTTGGTAGAGGTTGGGGCGCTCCCCGCCCCGCACAGCCTGCCTCTCTACCCCAAGCCGTGACCGCCCCTTTCAGAGAAGGGCCGACCGCAGGCGCTGTGGCGACAAGGGTGTGTGTGGCAGAGCCTTTGCATTTTGTCACTCCCACCCCATCCCCGCCGCCCCGCGTCCCTGGAGCGAGGGCAGCACAGGCGGCGGCTAGCAGGTGCGCACGGGGCAGGCGGCCACCAGCCCCGACCGCGGGCCGAGACACGACCACTGGCCGAGAGGCGGCTGCAGGGCTCTCGCGCTGCCCGTCTGCCGGATTTTTTTTTTTAAGTGTTATTGATTCGCCCGCGTCTGGGTGGCTTTTCTTCCACACACACACACCCCCGCCCCCTGCTTTGATCTTCATCTTGGCCCGCGCCCCGCCGCCCCGCGCGCGTTCAGCATCCAGGAAGCCGCTGGGGCCGATTGGCTCTGGCCGCGTGCGGCTTTATCTCCTTTTTAATTAGAAACGGGGCGGAGGGACTGGCGATCGGAGAGAGAAAGGGAAAACAGCAGAAAATAACCTCCCCTGGCCGCCCCGCCCGCCCCGGACCTCCCGCCGGCGCCGCGGTCTCATTGGCCCCGCCGGGGTCCAGCTGCCCTAGTGGGAGGGAGGGATGCCCCCAGAGGCGCAGGGCGCAGGCCTTCCGCCCCAGGCTGTCCCCCGGTGCTGGCATAAGTCCAGGTTGGGAAGTGGTGGTTGCACCTGACCTTGCTACTCCCTGGACCTCAGGTTATCCATCTATGAAATGGGCATAAGGGGTGAGGTCCCTGGGAGGTTCCTGGGACTTCGGCAGTAGCCCTTTGTCTGGGAGGTTCCTGGGACTTCGGCAGTAGCCCTTTGTCTGGCAAGCATCCTGATCAGGAGGCTGGCACTTGGCATCCTCCACGTTGTAACACACCTGGTTCTCACAGCAGCCCTGTGGGGCAGGCACTTGTGCCAATTCATGCCCTTACTGTAGCCATGGAAACACAGAGAGGCCATGCAACCTGCCCAGGGTCACACAGGTAGGAAGCCAAGGAAGCCCAGAGGGAGCCCCGTGAGCCAGACCCAGGCGCTAGACTGTCCTTGCTATGAATACAATCATCACGTCTCTGCTGCTGTCCAGCAGCACCGGTCAGCACCAGGTGCGCACCAAAGCCCCTCCACGTGGCAGGGCCCTGCTGGCCCTCCCTCCTAGCTGTGGGTGGGTTCTGTTTGGTGGCTGAGGGGAGGTTCTGACCACCTCCAGGGCCCCCTGCCCGGCCTCACCATCTGGGAGTGTCCGTCCAGCCCACCAGTGCAGTCTAGAGCATCCTTTGTGTGTCAGCACCTGTCAGGCCACCTCAGCACCCAGAGTATCCCCCAAGCATCCAGTACCTACATGGGGGCACCTGCTATGTCACAGGAGCTCACCCGAGGGACACTGGGAGGGAGGCTCACACCCCGTGCGTCCGGCAGCAGCCAGGGAAGCAGCAGAGCTAGGCAGGTGCAACCAAGGAAGGAACCTGGAAATGCACACAAGGAGACGATGGGGCAGAAGACCCCGAGGATGGAGGGCGTCAATGCAGGAGGCCGCAGAGGCGGGGAGGGAGGCGCCATGGCCCTGGGTTCCCAGGGAGGTCACTCCAGAGGGCAAGAAGCTGATTGGTAAACGTCGGGGGGGGGGCAGGGATTAGGGGGCTTCCAGGGCCTGGGGCTAAGAGCTTGGGTAGGAAGAAGCCAGGACTGGGGGGTGCAGACGGGAGCAGGCATGCCTCTTCCCCTCTGGGTGTCACTGTTACAGGGAGCCTCACTTAACCCCAGGCCCACTTCCCCCAGCTGAGCTCCGAGAGGGGCGCTCCCCAACACAGGGAGGCTCTTACTGCTATACCCAATGGGAGGGGTTGGGGGAGGGGCTTCTCCTTAAAAGCTCTCTTGAGCACAGTGTTTTGAGGTGAAGATAAAAAGGGTAGACAAGGGGCCAGCACTGTGGCACAGCGGGTTAAATCCCCACCTACGGTGCCGGCATCCCATAGGGGCGCCGATTCGAGTCCCAGCTGCACCACTTCCGATCCAGCTCCCTGCTAATGCACCTGGGAAAGCAGCAGAATATGGCCTCAGTGCTTGGGCCCCTGCACCCAGGTGGGAGACCTGGAAGAAGCTCTTGGCTCCTGGCTTTGGATCGGCTCAGCTCTGGCCATTGCAGCCATCTGGGGAGTGAACCAGCAGATAGAAGACCTCTCTCTCTCTCTCTCTCTCTCTGTAACTTTGTCTTTCAAATAAATAAAATAAATCTTTTTAAAAAAGGGGGGGTGGACATTGGAGCAACCTCACCATTAGACAGGGCATGGTTGGTGGGTCACACGGGGGCCCTGCTGGCGCCTCCTCTTCCCCTAGACACATCCACACCGCTCCCTCTGCCTCTGCCTTCGCATTGGTCCATCAACTCCACCTGCATCCGCCCCACCACTGCGCCCTCTTGCCTGCTCCGCGCCCCTACCCCAGGGGACCTCAGAGCATGGCCCTGCCTGTCCTGCCCCCAGCCCTGTGCAGTCTCCTCTCCCCAGAATCACCCTGGTTCCACGCCAGCTTGTGTGAGTTCTTCCCATTCCTTGGGGACCTCAAGCCTGTCTTTCCCCCAGGACTTCGCATGTTCTGTTCCCCGTGCCCAGGATATTTTTCCTCAGAGCAGTCCTCCCTGGTCACCCCAGCTAACATGGCCCTTTGCCCTTTTTTGTTTCTTTAAGGATTAATTTATCCACTTGAAAGGTAGAGTGAAAGAGAGGGAGAGAGAGCTGTGTCTTCCATCTGCTGGTTCACTCTCCCAATGCCTGCAATAGTCGGGGGTGGGGTGGGGTGGGGAGCAGGTCAAAGTCAGGAGCTGAGAACTCCATCTGGGTCTCCCATGTAGGCGGCAGGAACCACGTACCTGGGCCATCACCCACTGCCTTCCCAGGATGCATCCGCAGGGAGCTAACAGGTGCTCTGATGAGGGATGCGTGCACTTGAACCTGCTGCCCCCAGGTCCTCACCCTTCCTCCCCGCCTTCCCGCCCCTGCTTGCACGGCAGCCCCTGCGGTGGCTTCGCTGTCTGGAACCACCTGTTAGGTTCATCCGCAGCCTGCGTGCTCGCTCGGCCCGGAGCTCCTGTGGCAGGGCCCTGCCCGTCTGTGGGGCACGCAGCTTGGCACCCAGCAGGTGTCTGAGTGCTGAGTGCCTGCGTGTCAGCCTAAGAGTGGTCAGGGTCTTCCAGGCCAGACTTCTGCAAAGGAGGAGACGCCCACTCAGCAGGCGGGCAGGAAGAAACTACTAGAACTTCTACTTACAACTACTTTTTCAAGGCTTGTTTCATAGTCACACTGATGCATAGAGGAGAGTGCATGCCCCAGGCGTTCATGGGAATCTGTGACGCCAGCACTGCTGCTGCCCTCCCCTCCCCCTCCTCCTGCTGCCACACTTTCCCTGCACAGCCGATTTGGAAAAACCATTTTGGTATTATTTCTCAGGTCTTCATTATTTATTTGATTTTTTCAATTATTTATTTCACAGGCAGAGTGACAGAGAGAGAGAGAGAGACACAGAGAGAGATTTCCTATCTAATGATTCACTCCCCAGATGGCCTCAATGACCAGGGCAAAGCCAGAAACCAGGAACTCCATCCGGGTCTCCCATTTGGATGACGGCAGGGGCCCAAACACTTAGGCCATCTTCTGCTGCTTTCCCACGCACATTCGCAGGGACCTGGATCGGCAGTGGAGCAGCCGGGACTCAAACCGGTGCTCCTCTGTGAGATGCTGGCTGGGCAAATGCCATAACGTGGCTTAACCCTCTGAACCGCCCACATTTTTAAACGTCATCCCCACTGAACCCCACCTCCACCTCAAAGTCCACTCACCTTTTCATGCAAAATGACGTTGGTGGCACGCATCAGCTTTGGTTTCTGCGGGCAGCAGGGTGGCCAAGGCCAGACGCCTTGGGAGGGTCTCTGGGCAGCGCCCCCACCCTGCTGCTAATGCTCCCTCTCTCTGTGTCGCCCTCTCCTGCAGTGGCTTCTCCTCGGTGGTTGCTCTGGGAGCCAGCATCATCTGTAACAAGATCCCAGGCCTGGCTCCCAGACAGCGGGCGATCTGCCAGAGCCGGCCGGACGCCATCATCGTCATAGGAGAAGGCTCGCAAATGGGCCTGGACGAGTGTCAGTTTCAGTTCCGCAATGGCCGCTGGAACTGCTCGGCGCTGGGCGAGCGCACGGTCTTCGGAAAGGAGCTCAAAGTGGGTACGTGTTCGCCGCCGAGCACAGTCACGCGTGCGCGGTGCGGGAGCTCAGGCTCAGGGCGGGTGCGTGCTCGATCCCGACACGGTCACGCGTGCGCAGTGCGGGAGCTCAGGGTGGGTGCATGCTCCACCTTGACACGGTCATACGTGCGTGGTCCAAGAGCTCAGGGCGGGTGCGTGCTCGACCCCGACACGGTCACGCATGCGCGGTGCGGGAGCTCAGGCTCGGGGCAGGTGCGTGCTCGCCTGGGACATGTGTGCGCGGTGTGGGACCTCGCAGGGTCAGGGGAGACCAGAATGACCTCGGGGACCATCTGGGACCCCTCCCCTGGCCCTGCTTGGATGCCCCCTTGAGATGGTCCCGCAAGAGCTATGAACTGAGTCCTGAACTCAGCTTCGAATCCTCACCACTCCAGCCACTTATTGGCAAAGCTGCCAGCCGGGAACCAGCAGTGCTGGCCGCAGGGACAGCTCTGATATGTTTTAAGTGAAAGTGCAGACTTAGACATCATGTCACCTAAAAATGTGTATTCCTGGCTTCTTCTGAAAAAGTGGCAGATCCGCTCATGGCTTTCAGGTGTGTCCGCGTGGTTGCGACAAGCTGGCACTGAGAACACCGTTCCTTTAGCCGGGGCCTGGACAGTCCCACCACTCCCTGCCGCAGTCGCCACCACTCCCTGCAGTCCCCCAGCCTGTGGAATTCATCACGGGATCCACTTGGTCCGTGTGGGCTTTTCATCTTGCAACCCCTGTTTTACAGGGTGGTATGTGCAAATGTGCACACACATACACACACGTGTGCGCACAGTGTGCAGGCACAGACTTGACCTCTGCCGCGGGGTGAGACAGCTGTGGTGGACCACAGGGGAGAGCGCTGTGGGTCTCCACCTCGGTCCTGGCTGGGTCTCTCTTGCTTGTGCATGCTGAGCTCGCTGTGGCCAGGGGAACTTATCTGAAAGTGAGGTGGGCGTCAGGCTACGGCAGTGCCCCCGGCCACTCGGCCACCCTCAGGGCACCCGCAGGCTCCCTGTTGTCCTTAGCCCCAGCTGCAGCAAATCCAGGGGAATGCTGAGAAACCCCACCCCCAACCCAGCCCACCCCGCATCCTCCCCGCCTCCCCCTCCGGCCCCCCAGGCCCTCCTGGGCTCCCTGTGCCCAGCAGGCGGGGTCCCCATTTCTCAAGGGAAACCAGATCACGTCCCTTCCCTGCTCGCAGCCTGTGGGGGGGCTTTTTCTATCAGAATGAACTCCCAGTTGCCCCCACATGCACCACACCGGGTCCTGCTTCCGGGGCCTTAGCGCCTTTCCACAGCCATGTGCCCCTGGCCCCTGACTGGGTGGGTGCCGCTTGCTCCCTCCCATATTCGGGTCTCCTGGGACCTCCCCATCACTCCCTGGAAGTCCTACCAACGCTGCGTGGCACCACTCCTAAGGGGGTGGAGTATCCTCGGAATGCCTCTCTCCCACCCGCTGCAGTCCCATGGTGCGCCCTCCCCAGCGGGCCATCACTGTGGAGCCGAGTGACCACTGCAGGCTGAGGCAGGGAGGGGACCACAGGGAATTCAAGCAAGCCCAAGGGAGTGATGCTCATGCAACCAGGCTCGAGGGCCTGGAAGGGAGCGGGAAGCAGAGCTGGGAGGCGCGTGGGGTCGGATGCAATGTTTCGTGTGTGCGTGAGTGCGTGCCAAGGTGTAGGTCAGATCGTCGGAAACGGCCGCTACTCCTTGGTGTTTGACTCACAGAAACATCACCATCCTATGAGCCAACCTGATAGGAATTCTAGAATTAAAGGATGGGTACAGAAATTCATTCAGGATGTCACTGCTGATTCATTCATGCGTTCACTGGGTGTTTCTTGGGGGCGCAGGTGGCTGGGGGGGTTGCTGTCTGGGCGTGTATGGCCAGGGGAGCCCCTGAGCAGGTGAGCCCTGGGTGTGTCTGGGGCGGGGAAGGGAGCAGTGTGCCAGGCAACGAGAACAGCGCGTTTGCCAGCGTGGCTGCAGCGCAGTGAGGGTGGGCGTTAGAGGGAGCTCAGGGAGCCGGCTCAGGGGTGCGGGTTCTCCTGGCTGGAAGGGGGGGGGATGGGCAGGACCCAGTTTTAGCAGGACTCAGCGGCAGCTCTCCGGCTGCAGGAAGAGGAGTGAGGGTGGGAGCAGGAGTCTCGCCAGGTCTTCCGGGCAGGAGGTGACGGTGGCGGGGGCTGTGGGACAGCCGTGGACATGGGCTTCAGAGCTGAGCTGCCGGCGGGGAGCCAGACGGAGCCGGAAGGCCAGCTAGGAAGGAGGCGTCGCGGTCTGGGGCTGCTAGGAGGGTGGCAGTGGCAGTGTAGGAAGAGCAGAGTGAGACTCGGCGCTGGGAGAAGTCCCTTCCCCTCGGGCTCAGCTCCCTCCCGTGTAACCAGGGAGCCTGCTGGGGCACACAGACCCACAGGCCTAGGGTTCGGGAGCCTTTGGTGCCTCCCCAGTGCTCTCCTAGTGGCCTCTCCTAGTGGTCTGGGGGTGCCCTACTCACTAGGGCCACCTGCTCCGGGCGGGCTCTGAACTACAGGGCACAAGCTCTGCCTTTGAAGAGGTCTCCCAGAAGCTCCACCCACACCCTGCTCACATCTCATTGGCCACACGTCAGTCACACAGTCGCACCTAGCTGCAAGGGAAGCTGGGAAGTGTAGTCTCTTATGTGGAGTACCGTGAGACCCAGGATTGGTGCCCAAGGGGGAAGGGAGAGTGGATGTGTTGGAGAGCAGTAGCCCTTGGCAGGGGTCTTCTCTTCCATGCTGAGACCGGAGCCTCGCCCCCTCTGCACCCTCTCCAGCGTTCCCAGCTCTGCTCGTGCTCCATGGCTGTGTCCGGGGCCCCACATAGATCCCGGCCAGCAGTGGGCATGTGCCAGGCAAGGGCCCTTTTGTGCTTGCAATGGAAACCGCCTTATGCAACAGGGAAGATTTGTGTATGGCTGTGAAACGGGCAGGCCAGGGGATGGTGCTGGCTGTCGCGGCGTGGCCTGGAGCAGAGTGCCTGTTTGCTTCCTACAGCTCTCGGCAGCAGCTCCGCATTGCAGCCCCAGAGCCAGGGCTGTAAATTCCGAGTCCTGCAGGAAAGGGCCTAGGCCTCTCTCTGGCGGCACCTGCAGGTGTCCTAGGGCTGCCTCTGATTGGAACAGCTACGGGGGCTTGACTTCCGGTCGTGTGTCCATGCCACATGCAGCCCAGGGGCCAAAGACAACATGGTGCTGCTGGCTGGGCCTGAGAGCCACACCCTGACCTCCTGCAGGGCGAGCAGGACTGCTCACGAGTGTGCCAATGCCCCCGGACGGCCGTAACAGCAGCCCACGGCCTGGAACTGTGTTCCCGAGGCTTGAGTCTGGGGGCTCACGTGAAGTGACGGCCTAGCTCTCGCAATGCCAGTGGGTACTGCAGTGTGATGTGTGGCCCCCACAGCCATCTGGCCGCTGCTGCCCCAGCCCCAGTGTGACCTTTTGGGGTCTCAAGAAAGCCCTGGCATCTTCAGTGTCACCACAGTGCCACCCCTAGAATCCACCACCAAGCACAAGCAAAGCACGGATGGGCAGGTACCCTCAGCTCCGTGAGCCCCCCTCACCCCCCGTCCCCCGAGGCCTGGGCCTGCCCGTTCCCTCACAGTGTAGGTTCAGCCCATGCATCTCAAAGTGAGTGATTTCACGTTCATCCTGTTTCGCTGGGATTGTGCCAACTTCTGGCTGCGCCAGCCCACAGCATTGCTCCAGGGCCTGTCCAGCACCAGCTACTGTCTGGACTTCCAGAGCTTTGCCCAGTGAAGGGCATAAAACACGGTGCCATCCTTGCTTCGTTTGCATTTCCTAGAGAAGCGAGGCGGTGAGATCCCTTCCTATACTTGCGCAACTGTCTACTCTGCCCCAGCCGCCTGTTCCTGCCTGTTGCCCATTTTCCTGTTGGGTTGTGAGGCCTCCCTTCAGGTTTGGTGGTGGTACCGAGGGTCATGGTGGTACCGAGGGTCCTATCACCTTTCCTTTCCCTGACTCCTGCCACCCTGCAAAGAGGGGCCTCCTCTGTCTCACTCCTGCAGGACAGGACTGGAGCGAGGCCGAGGCCGCTCGGAGCCGTGGGGCTGTGGTATGAAGGGCTGAGATCGGTAGGGAGTTCCTTGCTGCTGGAGGGTTCCCGCCACTCATGGCACTGCCAGATTTGAGACGCTCAACGCTGTCGCATGTCTGAGAGCCTCCTGTTTTGTTCCTGGGCTGTATGGCCAGAAGTGGAGTCCCGTGGCCAGGTTCCCATCCCAGGCCCACTCTTATTTGTTGATGACGCTGAGTGCAGGGTTTGCCTTTCTGGCCTCAGTGTGCCCAGCTGCACAATGGGAGAACCATACAGCCTACCTGGCCAGGCGGCAGCTGCAGCACACGACAGCAGGTGTAAGACCTGGCACCTCATGGGCTGTGGATATGGGGGATGCCCTTCCCCCCTTCCAGGAGCCCCACCTGCTCATCTCATGTGAACACAAGCTGGAGGAACTGGGATGCCTGCTCTAGATTTTATTCTTGCTGTTTTGACTCTACCTACAAAACATATCCCCAAGTCTGTCTGCTTCTCTCCACCCCTCTTGCCCCTCCCACCTCCAACCTCCCCCCTCACCCAGCTGTTGCCTGGACAACCGCATCAGCCTTTGAACATCCCAGCATCTCCTCTCTGCTGTGCTGTTCGGAGTGTCGTGGCCTGCAAAAGATTCACGGGAAATGGGTATTGCGCTTAACCTATGCGTGACTTCCAAAAGTTGTTTGCACCCAAATACGCATGAAGGCTTTGGGGCCCACTCGCAAAGGCCTGCTGTTTCCGCAGCTCGGAGAACCAAGTGCAGACTCACCCCCACCCCGTGCTGCGCCTCCCCGTGCTGCCCCTGCACCCACTGCATTTGGTTTCGATGGGGTACACATGCTGAGTAGGTCAGGGCTAAAGGAAGACTGCTGGGGCCTGACTCACGCGGACCTGTGCCCAGCAGAACGCTGGTCCCCACCCCTGCCCCGTCCCTGCTGCTGGCTGCCCTGGAAACAAAAGGAAGCTTCCATGGACCACAAGTTTGGGAAGCTCAGCAGGTGATGTCCCTGCTCCTAGAGGACCAGGGGCCACTAGCGGAGTCAAGGCTCTGGAAATCCTGCTGACAAGAAAGCAGCCTGAGCAAGCTTCACCTGAGGCCTGATCTTTCCCACCCTTGGTCCTTTTTCTCCCAGGTGCACCTGGCTCAATTGCCGAGCTAACCATTCGCGGGCTGAGACCCCTCCTCACTCCTACAGGCTCCCACCTTGTTCACCAACATGCCCACAGAAAACCTGTGAACGCTGGTGAACAGCAGAGGAACTGGCTGTGGGCTCTGCCCCACAGGGACAGACTTCTGGGAAGTCAGAGCTGACGCGTGCTCTGGGGCTGGGCAAGTGCACTATGGCTTGGGGCTGCCCGCAGGGGTCACTTGGCAGAGGGGGCTTGTCACAGCCCAACAGAGGACTGGAGGGGCAGCAGGGCCATGGCTTGGGGTCTGTGATGCAGACAGGAGCCATCCGGGTCCACAGAGCTTGGGGCGCAGGGGATTCTCGGAAGTGGGGCGGAGAGGAGAGAGTGAGTCTGGGGAGGAAGTGGGGTCCAAGGGATCCTAGAGGGTCTTCTCGGGAGAGAAGAGGCAGAGGGACGTAATACGGGGAGGATAGGACGCAGGAAGAGAATCGGGTTGGCTGTGTCACCAGCAGAGCCTTGGCCGTGTCCTGACCTGTGCCCCTGGGGAGGCTGTAGTTTTCCACCTGCTTGATACCCCATGGCCGAATCTTACCAGGGATGGGCCCAAGCGACCCGGGAAGCACTCATGGGTCCCCGGGCTTGTCCTTCTGTCCAACTAATCGCCACCTCTCCTCTCCTGGAGGCGACTGTGGCCTGGGAAGCCGCATGTATGGCAGAAATGAGCCCGTCTCTGCGCCCGTCTGGGCTGTGTGCTTAGCTGATGCATGTGAGCAGTGACGGACGGGAAGCCTTCTCCAAGAGAGACGCGGCGCAAGGGGCGGGCTGGCTCCACTTTCCCTCTGCCATCCCCTCACAATGCGCCATCTTGCCCAAGCAAAAGATCCATTCTTCCCCCATTCTTGCTCAGAACACGGCCAACAAAGGAGTTTTTGTCTCGTTAGCATTTTTTTTTTTTTTTGCAAGCCTCAGTTCCTCCTGGGTTTGAGCTCTCCTGACACCGTTCTTTGAGATGAGTCTTTTGTGAGAATGCTCCCTTTGCAGCTTTCCTGTGGTACACAGGAGACGCCCGAATGCATGCGCGCGCGCACACACACACACACACACACACAGCCACACACACTCGTTTTCTCACGCACATTCATTCAGTCAGCTGCTGAGGCTTCACAGATACATAATCTAGCTCCTCACGCCACAGGGGATGGGAGCAGACAGGCCATTCAATCCAGTACACAACACGCTGGACAGGGAGCTGGCCACACGTGGCGGGAAGGAGGATGGGGAAGGTGTCCCCCAGGAGGGGACAGGCAGCCAGGCCTGATGGATGTGGTACTGATCAACAGTGCACCGAACCAGGAGCAGGCCCACACTGCCATGTGCATTGGGTGACTTAATCCTCCCAGCAACCCTAGGGGCAGACATTGTATCATGCCCATTTCACAGAGGAGCAAACTGGGGCCCCGAGAGCCGAGTTAACTCACCCAAGGTCCAGTCGCTGGGGACTGGATGTGGAATGTGGCCTACTTTGAAGTCACGTGATGCATCTGCTGCCCCTCCCCAGGTGGGTGGGACAGGAAGGGCATTTCCAGGCGGCGGGATCAGCAGGTGCAAAGGATTTAAGGACCTTTGGTAGACGGTCAGCGTGCTCTGGACTTTCTCTGTGAGAAAAGAGATGAGCTGAGGCAGGCGCAGAGGCCAGGGCCATGCACTTGGGTCTGTCCCCCGCCCCCATCCCCATCTCCTTGGGCCCATCACCCTACCAGGCTCAGCCCAGGCGCAAGCTCCCTGCACCCCCACATCTCCCTGCTGTTCATGGAGCGGCCCCTGGTTCCTGGGGACAGAGAAAGCCACACGTGGCATCTGGGCTCAGAGGGGCTGTGGGCTGCCATGCCACGGGGCTGGCTGGCAGGAACAACCTTTTTCCATCCGTATCTTTTCCACACCATCATCTATTTCAGCCTGTGTCACTGCAGATTGCTCCCTTTTTGACCCATTGGCTTTAAATAGCAGAAGAGAAAAAAAAATACAATGCACTTTGTGGTTTCCAGTAAGATACCGTAAACACACCCTGATAATATTCCGGTGCAAACCACTTACAGAGGCTGCACAGGGCGGTGCAATGGAATCTTTTGGGCAGGCTTGGACATCAGTTGATTTCCTCTGTGCCCGCCGGAATTGTGCGGGGCTGGAATGCATGGTGGGTGTCAGCAAGGGCCCCCCATCTCAGGGACAACCCTTCCCCTCCCCCATCCAGCACCTGCTGGGGGCTCTTTATATGGGAGCCTCGTTTAATCTTCACGGCGCCTTGGCAGTGGCCTGCCAAAGGCTCCCATTTCACAGACGGGAAGGCTGAGACTTGGGGGAAGCAGAGCCCTGCTCAGGGCCGTCCAGCCAAGTAAGACATGGAGGAGAAGCAGTGCCAAGCTTCAGCTTCTCCGGATTCTGGGCTGGAATCACCCAGGTGTCCCGAGACGGAGGCTTCCTGGGTTTCCAGAAGGAATCTTGGCAGAGTGACGCGGGTGGACGGAGCGTCAAGGATGGTGGGGTGGAGGTGCGGACAGGGACCCCGCCTGGGGAGACCCGGTTCTCAGCCTTCAGTCTCAGCATCACTGGTGACTCTCCTGCCCTCTGTGAGCTCCCGGACTCAGGTTCTCTGCACAGGGCAGGAGGGTTGGGGCTGGCAAGGACCACGGCTGTCCACTGCTATAGCCTCACTGCTCCCCCCCACCCCCGACCCCGGTTTACTTGCTCCTGCCATCAGCCACACCCCATCAGGGCTGTCGCTGGGGGCTGCGGCTCATGCTGGAGCCCCCTGCCCACAGGGAGCCGTGGCCTCTTTGCTCACCAGTCCCCGGGCTGGGCGCCCCAGTGGGGCTCCCACCGCAGCCCTGTTTGTCATTCTTCGGAGTCCTCACCGCCGCGAGGCAAGGCAGGGCTGCACCCTCCCCACCTCGGTTGCCCCAGCCCCCAGTAAAGTGCCTGGCACATAGTAGGTATACGAAGTATCTGTTGGGTGAAGTATCTGTTGCGTGGCTTGGTCCAGGTGGGGGAGGGGTGGGCTTGGATAGAGGCATGTCCTGTAGGGCAGAATGACGCCACCCAGAGAAGGGAGGGGCCAGAGTCAGTGACAGCTAGGCCCGGCCCAGTGGCTCCTTCCCAGCCACATGTGGGAGACTGGGGGCAGTCTGGCTGCGTGTGTGGGGGAGGGTCCCCAATGGACGTCAACGCTGGCACCTGCCTAGTCAGAGTCTGGCTGAGTCTTGGTTTATCTTCCGAAGAAACATGGGCAGATGCAGGGCTGCGTCCCCAGGAACGGGCAGCTGTGCTCTCTGGGCCAACAGCGAGTGCGCAGGAAAGAGCACTGGTGGCGGCCACGGCTCTGAGCTTCCCCGCCTCCCTCTGGTAGCACCGTTGACGGCCATGGGGATGACAGGGGTCCCAGAGCATTGTCATGGGGCTGAGCAACTCCATTGCCTGGAGATGACACTGAGGCCCAGCGCGTCGACACGCCCACGTGTGCAGTACGCTGGATGGGGACCGGGCTCTGGCACTGGCTTGCGTGTGGACCGTGCAATCACTGCTTGAGTTACTAAAGGACTACCTGCACACGAGAGCACCCGGTGACGGGCATGGCAGCACCTGCGTCCCACCTGTACTCCGTCTCTCGGGGGGCGGGCACGTCCGGTGGTGGGCATGAGTGCCCACCGCGATGTTCGCACCAGGACAGAATCGCCCAACCACGTGCCGTCGCCAGGTGTCTCTGGGAAATGTGGTTGCATCTGTTGAGTGCAGGGCTCCGAGAACACAATACGGAGCAGGACAATATGCTTGCCCTCCGGAGGGTGATCTGGCGGTGGGAGACAGCAAATCAGCCAGAAACGGCCGCAGCGAAAAGAGCTAGAGTGAGGGAGGTTGCCCTTGGCAGCTTACAGCAGCACCCGCAATTGTCACTGTCACACCCACTCCTGCTTGTTGACGCACCTGCTCTGTGCCCCACCATGTCTGCTTCTCCCTGCAGGCTGGGTGCTGTTCACAGAGGAAGTAGCGGCTCAGGGAGGTCCAGTGTCTGGCCCACAGGGGCCGGGGCACTGCTCACTGTACCGTGGAGTCCTCTAACCCCTGGCTCTCATCTGCACGGGGCGTCCAGAGGCCAGGGCAGTAACGTAGCAGTGCTGCCCCTCAGGGTGGGCCTGGCTATCCCATGCCTCTCCCCGCGGTCCCTGTGTTAGGAATTGTCACAGCTGTTGCTCATAGCACTAGCTGGGGCCACATTCTCATGCCGAGTGCTTCCCACTGTTCATCAGGTGGGGGCTGTTGTCAGCCCCCGTGGCACAGGGACTCAGGCAGCAGTGCACAGTGGGACACTGTGGGACGGAGTCATCTCCGTCCTCAACACGGGGCCTCGCCAGCATCCCAGGCCCTGCTCACTTCATGTAAGCAAAGCACTGCTGGGTGCTATCACGGGAGCAGAAGCTGAGCCCTGGGGGCTACCCTGTCCCTGCTGCTCAGGGCCAGGCCCTCTGTTGAGTGCATGCCACCCCCAGGTGTTCTCTAGTCCAAGGAAGCAATCCATGTGGAGAGTTGGGGACCCAGGCAGTGCCCCGATAACGCCCTCCTGCAAGTCATAAAGGCTGAGGTGCAGTAGCAGGGAGAGGGCGGGGGCCGTGTCCCCCACAAGTGCTCTGTTTGGAGGTGCTTGCTGAGCCAGGTGTTGGGCTCGGCAGTTCGCCTGCCCCTCTCCTTTGTCCGCTCCCAGCTGCTGTCAGGCAGGCACTGCATGGTCTCCACTTCGCATCCCGAGGCTCTGGTGGGACAAGGAGCTCACTCAAGTCACGGGCAGTGAATGCTGGGGCTGGGACTGGAACCCAGGTGGCTGAGCTCCGGGTTCATAGGGACATGGGGGTGGGCTGGCATGGAAGGTCCAGCACAGCTCTGTCCTGTGGTGGGGACAGCAGTGATACTGGGAGAGGGCACGGGCTGTCCGTGACTCAGCAGCCTGGTGAGGGGGCACACGGTACCCGAGGAGGTGGGTGGGAAAAGCACCTGTGTGAGTGTAGGTTGGTGCGACCTGGGGCTCGAAGCATTGTGGAGGTCACTTCATCGACTTTGTCACCCACTGGTGAGGCCACTTCCATCCCAGACACCCCACACACTTGCTCCTGGCCCCATGTGGCCTGGGCATCTCTACCCCCTCCACCTGCTCTGGGCTCAGGGCCTCTTCCTCCAGGAAGCCAACCCCACACTCCGGCTGCGAGCGCTTCCTCACCGACTGCCCATGTGGGGCTTGTAGTGCACGTGGGGCTTCTTGCAGATGGCCGGGGTCAGTCTTCATTCTGTAGACCCTGCTCCGGTCCCACTCTGCAGGTGGGGAGATGGAGGACTCAGAGGCGGGAGGATGGCGCCACCGTCACATCTGGCCCGAGCATGGTCCTGTCACCGCACCACAGCCTATAGGACCGCATGAGACCTACTGTGTCAGGCAGGTGCCAGGAGCCAAGCGTGGGGCCCAAAGCTTGACCCAGACATGCTATTGGTGTTGCCGCCGCCGCTGCTGCGAGGAAGCACTGATGTCCCCATGGTACAGCCGAGGGCACTGAGGCCCAGGCAGCGTAGTCACTAGCTGAAAGTCACAGACCCAGGCCCTGCTGTGCGTGGCATGTAAGCTCAGGCCTCTGGCCCCAGAGCAGGTGCACCCGCAGGTGTCTGAGGAACGCTGCTTTGTGACATTGAGAGTGTTGAGCACGTGTCCAGTGTGCTTGGCAGTGGGGGGCGGGCAGGAGGGGCAAGAGGGACCCCCTGCCCTGCCGACTCCCCCAAGGAGTGGGGCCTGGGTGGGTGGCTGCATAAGGGGGGTGCTCAGGCCTTGGCATCACCCTGCAGGGGAGCAGTTTGGGATGTTAGGAGCGCAGACCTCACAGTGGACTTTGGGGCTCACTGCTCCAGGCTCAGCCTCCCGCCTTGGCCAGGCCCTGCCTTCTCCCGAGGGGCCCAGGGAGCTGACCACAATCTCTGCCCTCTTCTCTCCTCCCACAGGGAGCCGGGAGGCTGCCTTCACGTACGCCATCATCGCTGCCGGCGTGGCCCACGCCATCACAGCGGCCTGTACCCAGGGCAACCTGAGCGACTGCGGCTGCGACAAGGAGAAGCAAGGCCAGTACCACCGGGACGAGGGCTGGAAGTGGGGTGGCTGCTCCGCCGACATCCGCTACGGCATCGGCTTCGCCAAGGTCTTTGTGGATGCCCGGGAGATCAAGCAGAATGCCCGGACGCTCATGAACTTGCACAATAACGAGGCGGGCCGCAAGGTAGGCAGCCAGGGAGGGACGTGGTGGCTCTGACGGCCGCGCCATGCACAGCTGGTGCCGGGGGGTGGTGGTGAGCCCAGGGCTCGGTCCCTGGCCTCTTTCTGCTGCTCAGTATTTGTGTGGGGCAGGAAGCGTGCCCATTCGTGGAGAGGTTGCATGACTGAATCCCCCTTGACACAGTTTGGCTGGAACTCAGCGAGGCAGAAGGGCAGACGTGGACTCTGGTCCGTGGGTCCACGAGATCCACAGGGCCACACTCCGAGGGGGGAGGTGTTGAGTGAGTTCCGTGGCAGTCGCTCCTGTGGCTAACCTGTCCTTGGTCACATTAGCCGAGGTCTGAAGCCTCAGGTAAAGAAGGTGAATGTTCCCTCTTCAGCTCCTCCTGGATTCTGTGTCCACGTTAGTCAGGGACGTCCTAGGAGCCTAGTGGAAGCGCCGTGGGTGGAAAGTGCAGCTGGAGGCCCCGTCCCACGAAGAGCTGGTGGTCCCTAGTGGGAGGAACAGAGGGGTCAGCAAGCCTGGGGACAGGACAAGGACCCACAGAGTGGGTGAGTGTCATGGGGAGGCAGGTCCTGCCACCACTGAGGAACTGATTCAATAAAGCAGCGAGCTCCCCATCCCAGGAAGTAGTCAAGTGGAGGCAGCTTGGCCAGACATCTTGGAGCCCCCAGGTCAGTGCTGCTTGGTGTGGGCCGTGTTCTGAGCCAAGGCTGAGGTTGGGAGTGGGCTCAGGACACCCAACCCCCAGCCCCTGGCGGCAGGATGGGGGTGGGACGAGGCTGGCAGGTGTCAGGAGGGAAGGTTCTGGCGTCTGGCTGGGACACTGGAGAGAAGTGTGTGGGAGCCAGGCTGGGTGCTTTGGTGATGGGATGTGGACAGCTAGCACCAGGGCCACAACAGGGGCACCCACAGAGTCTGGGCAGCGGCAACCTCAGGGGAGACCGTGTGTGGCCTGTGCCGAATCCGGGGCGCAGGCCGGGTCCTCGGTGCCTCCTCGCATTGGGCTCCACCCAGGTGTGGCTGCGTAGGATTTCCTACCAGGTGTTTTAGGGGCAATCAGCTCGTTTCTAATTGTTGCCTCTTAAAAACTGGGAGTCATGAATAAGTCTTACAAAAACAGTAAAGAAAGAGAGGAGAGGGAGAGGAGAGGGAGAGGAGAGGAGAGGAGAGGAGAGGAGAGGAGAGGAGAGGGAGAGGGAGAGGAGAGGAGAGAGTGAGAGGAGAGGAGAGGAGAGGAGAGGAGAGGAGAGGAGAGGAGAGAGAGAGACCCACCCATAGGGGCTGAAACAGACACACCTGCTGGCCAAGTCTGGGCCACAGCTGCCCATCTGGGCTTGGGGTCTGGGTGACAAAGTGGTGGGAGTGGCTCTGGGGACCAGGCAGGCTTCTCGCCAGGGCGTGTTCACCCACTTCCTCTTCAAGCGTCCCCTGATGCAGTGTCATTATGCCTGCTTTACGGGTGAAGTGACTGGGGGCACAGAGCGGCTAAGTCACAGACTGAGGAGCGTCCCACTGCCCATCAGCAGCAAGGCCAGAATGTGCACTGCCCGCCGCAGTGGCGTTTGCAGCTTCATCTGCTATGCACGCAGGTGTGGCGTGGTGACCTGAGTGGGGCTGGGCCGTGGGGCTGCCTGGGTCCAGACCCAGCTGTGTCCCTTCTTCCTGTGAGCTCAGGACGGAGGGGAGAGGAGGAGGAGACTGGGCAGGAAGGTGCTCAGCGCGGGACAGTGAGGTTCCAGGCTGCGCTCCTGTGCGTCTGTCGTGCGGCTGCGTATGGGGCCTGGTTTCCGGGGCACCTGCACACCCTGCAGGGAAACAAGGCCCGTTGTACAGGGCCAGTGGGAGGGGCCGGGGGCCGCCTCTCCCTCCCTCTCTCCTTCCCTCCCACTTCCGGTGTGTCAAGCTTCCCAGGGGGCCCTGGTGAGTCACCCTAGGGAGCTGTTCACCTGGCCTGCCCGGGGATGCTGTCCCAGTGAAGTCACGAGGCCCTGCCTGTCCCGTCGCAGCCGGGGCTCCTGTCCAGGGGGCGCATACCTGCAGTGCTCCCAGCCGCACCTTCTCCCTGCTCTGTCAGGCGCCCCCAGGTCACAGGTAACCCATCTCAGGCTCCTTCCTGCCCTGAATCCTTACCCACTGGAGGCAGCCCCGAGGCATGGCAGTGGCTGCCCCTTCTTAGCCTGTCTCCTCCTGGGGGCTGTGTAGCTAGGTAGTAGTAGATTCAGGTGGGAGAGAGTTTTACAAACCGCCCAGCCCCACCAGCCTTGCGGCTTGGGCCACTGTTTGGAGGGGCCGTCACCAGTCCCAGGGCAAGGTAGACCCTGGGCACTGTCTGCGTTCATAAGACCAACCTTAGTGGACTTCCTGGAGGAGGCAGGCCCCCAGAGATGAGTGAGATTTGGCCAAGCAGAGAATAAATGAAGACAACCAAGTCTCGGGATGAGGGTAGGGGTCAAAGGTCCCGAGGTGGGGCCTGGGGCCAGTTCAGCAGCCTAGGCTGCTCGTCTGTGGGTTGCTGAAGGAGTAGCCACAGCCGGGGTGGCCTGCAAGGTACCGGCCAGGGGAACTGCTTGATTTCCCTATGGCCGCCTTTTCCTTGGTGTCCAGGTTTCGGCCTCGGGGAAGCTTCCCTTTCACTCCCTTCCTACACTTTTCCCGGCTGTCACTTTGCCCAGGGGACTCTCCCTGCCCAGGCTGCAAGCTTACTGCAGACAGAGAGCCGGGCCTCTCACACAGCCTCCACGAGGCCTCTGCAGCCTGCAGGGCATGGACGGCCTGGCCATCGCTGCAGAGCCACTGATGGACGGTTCTGGGGCAGGGGCAGGGGCAGACAGACCCCCGGGAGACTCAGGGGAGCCTTGGGCTAGTCCAGGTGCGGGGTCTGGGCAGAGTGCAGATGACCTGACACCCGAAGGTTCTGGGCAGGCCCAGCTCCCCCAGCTCTGGAACCAGTGGAGAGCCCAGCTACGTTCTTGCAGGGAGACCCCTGAGGGTGGCTCCCCGGTGACAGAGCTCAGCCAGCCACTGCCTCCCTCACCGGGAGGTGGAACTGGGGGCTCCTCCATGCACACAAGGAAAGCCTGACTGCCTGTCAGTCCCACCCCTCTGTGTCATGCAGGAAGTGAAGGCCCGGAGAGGGTGCTGGCTGGCCCCCAGCACCTAGGCAGGGGCCACACAGCACAGCCAGAGCCTGCCCCAGGTGCTCAGACCCTCACTCCCTGCCGCAGGGCACCCCAACGGCCCGGATGTGGATCCCCCTGGGCAGGACTCCTCCTGGGGTCTCAGTTACTCCAACTACAAGTTGGACAGCTGGGTCCCCAGGACCCTGGGATGTGCGTTTATTGGGAGTCGCGCCTCCCTGCCCGGGGACAGACCGCAGCAAAAGGGCCAGCGCCAGCCCGGCTGCGCGTGTGGCTTGGAGAGAGCACAGATGCGTGCAGTGCCCGCCGCCTGCTCCTCTGCCAGGAGACAAGACTCGACCTGACTGCAGGCTCTGGCGCTGCCTGGCAGCTGGTGTGGGAGGAAGGGGTGTGGGGGCCGGGGAGGGGGCACACCAGGGCCTTCCGCAGCCCAGCGGGGTCTGGCCCCTGGCTGCTGGGGGCCTCCGGCCCTCCCCCCAGCAAGTCTCCGGGGGGGTCTGAGCCCGGAAGAGTCAGGCCCTGGCAGGTGGGTATGGGCCACGGGGCTACAGAGGGAGGGGCACCACCAGGTGGGCCTCGTCCTCTTCCTCGTGTGCCCTGCGGCTGTGTGGTCCAGATGTGAATCACAGAGCGCTCAGGCTAGGAGACGGCAGCGGGGGCTGCTCACAGCCTTTGAGGGGTGGGGGAGCGGAGATTCTAGAATTGTAGTCTCTCTTATCGGCATTTGGGGATCATAATAGTCTTGGATCGCAACCGCAGGCCGCTCAGGTTGGGGGTGGTGGAATGTGAGGGTCACATCCTGGCGGACGGGGCTAGCATCGGAGGATGGAGAGTGGCGTCAGAAGCGTTGATTTGCAATCTCTGGGTGGCAGCTCCTTTGTGGCGCTGAGTCATTTCTTCCCAGCCTGCAGCAGGCAGCGGGCAAGCGAACCGGGCACAGTCCTCGCCCTCGGGATGCTCAGCCTAGCGAGAGTCAGATAAGAGGAGCGGAAATTATGTTGGCGGCTACTCGCCGCAGGAGGAAGCCAGCGAGAGCGCAGAGGAGTGGGGAGAAGGGCTCACTCCGAAGGGCTTTGCAGGATCAGCAGGAGTCCTCCAGGCGGATGCTGGGCTGGGAAGGAAGAGGGCAGGCCAGGGGGAAGCAGGCATGGGGAAGGCGTGAAGTCCTCGAGGAGCGCCGCGTGGGGAAGCTCAGTGTGGCGGGGTGGGGCTGCATAGGGGGCTGGCGGCAAACACTAGGTCTTGAGGGCCAGGTCAAGGTATCTAGGCGAGACTTGGGGTGGGGGGGCTCTCGCTGGGACAGAGCGGAGAGCGGAATGCAGGGGCTGTGGCTGCTGTGGGTGCCTAACCCCAGTAGGGGCCTCAGGCTGGGGAGGGAGGGCTGTTTAGGGAGCATATTGGGGGCTGTGTTTGGTGTGGGTGGGTGGGCGCCGCCTGAGCTGGAGTCAGGAACGGGGACGCGGAGACTGGTTTCCAGGGCAGCGAGTGATCCTTGGGCCAACCGGGGAAACGCCCGTGGCTTCTCACTGCAGTGACTTCCTGGCAGCCACCAGTGGGAGGTGGTCTCATACTGTCCCCCCCCCGCCCCCAGAGAGTGCCCTATGGATGCTGAAAATAGGAACACAGGAGAGAGAGTCAGGGAGGCGGGAGGAAGAGGAGGGAACCCAGCCCTTCCAGAGGCATGCTTGAGCCTCTGTGAAACCCCTCCCCCCCACCCCCCGCCGCGGGGGACGGTGCCCAGAAGCCCAGGCGGCACCTCGAGTCAGCCTCTGCAGGTTCCGCACTCGGGACCTCCTGCCCGGGCATGGCCGCGGTGAAGACGCTGCACCTGGCTGCCAGGGGCGAGCCTGGCTGTACCCGAGC